CCCCCCACCTAATCACCCTCATAGCCCAATTAACCCCTAATTAGCGCACCTTGGGGATGATGTACCCCCGGAAGGGGGTGTCCCTGGTGACGCTGCGGACGAACCCCAGTGGGATGAGGTCGAGGTGCCGCTGCACCTCGTGGATGACGGCGTCGGTGTAGGGCAGCGCCGGGCGATCCCGTAAAGATGGCGGCCGCTCCGAGCCCACAACGCGGTCCAGCTCCTCCTGAACCCGCTCTGAATGGGGTCACGGGGTCATGGGGTCAGCAAGGGGTCACAGGGTCATGGAGGGGTCGTGGGGTTGTGGAGGGGTCGTGGGGTCACAGTGGGGTGTTGGGGCCAGGGGGTCATTGACCCCATTGATCCCATTGATTCCTATTGACACCATTGACCCCCAGTGATGCTCACTGACCCCATTGATCCCCAATGACCCCATTGATCTACAGACCCCAGTGTTTCCCACTGACCTCATAATATCCCGTAATATCCCACAATGCCCCCCAATTTCCCACCATGCCCCCAATTTCCCACAATGCCCCAATTTCCCATGATGCCCCAGTCTCCCACAATGCCCAAGCTTCCCATGATGCCCCGAATTTCCCACGATGCCCCAGTTTCCCACGATGCCCCAGTTTCCCACGATGCCCCAATTTCCCACAAAGCCCCAAATTTCCCACAATGCCCCAGTTTCCCACGATGCCCCAGTTTCCCACGATGCCCCAGTATCCTATGATGCCCCAGTTTCCCATGATGCCCCAGTTTCCCACAATGCCCCAGTCTCCCACGATGCCCCAGTTTCCCATGATGCCCCAGTTTCCCACGATGCCCCAATTTCCCACAATGCCCCAAATTACCCACAATGTCCCAGTTTCCCACGATGCCCCTGTCTCCCACAATGCCCCAGTTTCCCACGATGCCCCAAATTTCTCACAATGCCCCAGTTTCCCACTATGCCCCAGCTTCCCACGATGCCCCAGTTTCCCATGATGCCCCCAATTTCCCACAATGCCCCAGTTTCCCACGATGCCCCAGTTCCCCACGATG